GTACCAGCAGCCCTGGGACAAAACCCACTCATTCACAACCACACAGACCCATTACCAATACATATAACCAGCAAGCAGCTATACACACAACAAACAATGGATTTGGTCAGACTAAAAACAACCTAAAGCCAGCAAAAACAATCCAAACTACTGCCATTGGTCCGGATTCGAATGTGAAAGTCATCAACCCCCAGACAAACCCAGCCCGAGGAAGTGACTCTGCTCCTGAACCCAAAAGTGAGCATCTGGGACCTGCTTTGATTAAGTTCACACTTGATGATGTAGTTCAGCCAGTGAGGCGTCCACCTCCCCCAGTCAATTCACCAGCCAAGACAAAGGCTCAAAGAGAGGAGGAAGAAAGGGAGAACACAAAGCCTGAGAGTGATATGGCTCTGTCTCCATCTGAAGAAGTAGTTACTGTGGCTCAGATTGTTGAACCACCAAAGACCAGCACACCGGCTACTTTGATGATGAAGAGAATCACCTTTAAACCTACTACTTTTACCAATGCACCTCAAACTCCAGGCACTACAAAATTCCCCAAATTTTCTAAATTCCACCAAACTTCAACACAGGCAACATCAGTGACGACTGATATGTTTGAGGATGCTTCAACAACAGTCACCTCTACAACTCAAGCTGAAACGAAATCAACACTTCAGAAGAAACAGCTAACTACAACCACAACTTCCACTACACCCACTGTCTCAGAGGAAGGTGCCCCTCCTCCTAACAAGCCTCAACCACGACCCATATCAAATTCTCCTACAAACAGAACAAGTCTGTCAAACACAAACAGCTTTTTCCCTATGAGCTGGGGAATTTCACAGCCAGCTGATGAGTCTTCCAGCTGGGGAGTTTCAAAGCCAGCTGATGTTTCTTCCAGTTCTGCTCTGAAAAAGGATGAAGAGCATGTTTCTAAACCAGGTCTTCCCCAGGCAGCTTCCTCAAGAGTAACAATCATTGAGGCTACACCAATGCCTAAGGCTGGAGAGGTTTTCCCTACTCTCAAGCATTTCACAATGTTTACAACACCTATACCAAATTCCTCTCCCACTGAACAAACCATCAACACCAGGAAACATGTCCCATCAACCTTCTACTACACAGGATCTACCAAGCAAATGGACAAGATTCCAACCACAACAGAGAGAATGCCATTAACAAGACCTGAGCCACCTTCCTTGATAAGCGCCCGGAACAGACCAGAACGGCTAATGCCTGGCAGATGGAACCAGCGCACTATAAACAAGCCTCCGCAGCTGCAGTCCGATAATTTTAGTAGGGAGCGTCCTTTGGAGAACGAGGGAGAAGAGTCACACTTAATCACCCACAATCAGTCAAAAGTTCATTACAATCCACCCCCAAGAAAGTTCTTCCACATCAACAGACCAACACCCCAGCCAGCCCTGATTATGAAGACACAGCCATCTCCAACAATATCATCATCCTCTACTCCATTCTTCAACTACAAGCAAAAGCAATCTTTTGTTGTTCCATCCCCTGCTTCTGTGGACACTGTAAGAGACCCACCTACTCCCACTCCAACTCCTGGTCAGCCAGAGATGACAACAATGATGTTCAGAAGGCGGCCCATGATAAACTTTAACAGGAGAAGACCTGAGGATAAGGCAGGAGAGGCACAAGACGAAGAGTATGAGGAGGAGAATGTGAGTACCCCTGAAACAACTGAAAGTACGACAACAGAGTACCCATCCACTACAGCTGCAGATGAAGAGACCACAACAGCTCAGTATATGGACACCACAACAGAGCACACAACCATGACTGCAGTTACAACAGAGAGTCCTGAGACAGAAAAACCTCAGAGGTACAATTCAATAACAAGACTTCGGAACTTCATGACCCGCAAGAGGGCAAACAGAACAAGAACAACGTCCAGGGTCGCAAATGCTGCTACAACTACTCCTTTACCAATAACAACTACTAACATACCAGATGATGATTCTGATACTTTCAGCCCAGATGCAGACCCCAACCCCACAACACCCTCCTCTCAACTCACAACTAACAAGTTCAGCAGCTTCAGGACACGCCTTTCGAACAGACCAATTAGCCCACTTTTTAGGACACCAACAATCATCTCTTCACCAACCACTACCACTACCACAACGACCACCACAACCAAAAAGCCCCTCAGGCCAACCAAGGTTCCTACCACATTCCCTCCAAAGATCTCAAACTTCAAGGACATTGACCACGACCACAGTGGCAGCCACTCTTCCCAATTTGAGTGGAGACAACCCATTCATGAAGTCCTCCTGCAAGACCACCCAGAGATGCTCCATCTATACAACTGGGAATCCAGCCGCCTGGATGGAGCTCAAGAGCGAGCAGACACTAACTACAACCCACAAACCCCGGAGTCTGGTCTGGGAGATATTGAAATCCTTCTTCCAGGAGCTTCAAGTCTTTCTCCAGTGATTGAGGATCCTCCTCGAGTTCCTGCATCACAGGAAACAAGCAACCTGGAAGCCTCACTCAAAAGACCATTCCTGTCTCCTGAATATGCTTCAGTAACACGAACTGCAGCAAAGGTGGGATTTGTAGAATAAATTTGTTTCCAGGTGCAAATCATATTTTCCTTGAAAAGGACTCACTCATATTTGTCATGTATGCTATGTGAACATGGTCAAAGATATTATCTTCTTAACTGATTTTTCTCCAGAATTCTTTCCATGTTTTATGTCATATTCTAGCCAATGCTAATCTATTTTCATAATTTTACTAACAATTAATTACATATCAAAGAAAGGTACCAAAAGCATCAATAACAGAGAGATGTTATAAAAAGACTCATGGCCATGATATATCAAATTATTTTAATAGTATCACAATTTCTCTTATTTTCAGGTCCCGCTTGAAGCAACAGCAGACCAGAGCAGTGATGCCTGGGACACACTGATGGGAAGCTTCAGAATGGGAGAGTCGCCTCACAGCCACATTCTCTTCTCACTACATAAAAATGATCCTTCAATACTTGATATCTAAACATCCATTTCCCTAGAAATAACTATAAAATATTCTCTTGGATGCATATACTTTCTTTCTTACAGAGGGCATATATATATAGCTGAAGATGTACTGGAAATACACTGCTTCAGTCACCTCTCTCTCTCTCTCTCTCTCTCTCTGTTAATTTTTTGTTGAAATTTTCTTCTTCCTCAGGTAACTATGTCTCTTAAAAGTTACCAAACAGTATAGTTAATGTAAGTATCCATAGTTTAAAGGAAACACATAATGAAATATCTCATTTTCCAGCTTAACAACAAACTAAAACCCAACAGACTTTCTTAAAGTAGTGTATAGTACAGCAAAACAAGAGGCCATACTGAATAGCAGTACTGGGTCACTTTGGTTCAATCATTTGGCCATACCTCTGGTCTATAATTTTGTCCGCTAATTCTGAATTATCATACCATTTGCTACCTTTATTTCATTTTGTATGTTATTTTTGTTTTATCATTCTTTTCACTACTTCCTTTGTTTGTTTTGTGTTTCCAACCAATCTTGTACATAGTTTTACCAAAGTATGGACTGAGTTATGGCTGGCCCATAATTCTTCCAACAGCATGTATTATAATGTAGTTCACCCAAACATGAAAAAATATTTTATTTTTCTATATCTCTTGTTCAAATAATTATTTACCATAATGTTAATGGAAAACATCTCAGATGTTGTATAATATTATTAGTACAACAGTGATGTGCATGCCTATTCCTCAGATAGTTGAATTTGTTGACTATTTTGTTCAAATTGTTAATTGTTTTGTCATAAGATATCATTTTAAATGTTTTTGTTAGAAAAAGTTAATTATGATGCTGGTAAAAGTTACATGATTGAGAATGAATAACATCAGAAAGTAGGAGGAAAAATGGGACACATTCTCATTATTACCTTTCATTACGAACGTCTGCTAATACGCTTAGATGTGTCATTTATTCTCATTGTATTTTTTTATGTCTGTTCAGTTTGTTGGTATATGCTGGCCACAGAACCAACACCTGGCAGTACATATCTCTTTGGCCAATAAACATATCAACATAAACATATAAACATTTTCAACCCTACCATTTCCTTATAGTTTTTCCGTTATTATGTTTATTTCCTGGGTGTTTGATAGTTTTAAAGAAAACAACTTCACCTTTCTTTTTAAAGAGTATATTATCTCTAAAAATCACTCTAAAACAAATGATAATGTACGAATAATAAAACCAAAAATAACTGATAACAAATGAAAGTCATCAGTGATAACAAGCTAACAGGTCAACAACATTTAAACTGAATCTTATCTACATAATTCAAATATTTCCCATGTTTTACTTATCACAACTATTTCAAATAAATAAAAAATAAAGTAATCCAGGAATAAAGAAATCAACTAACAGACAAGTATGTAAGTCCTAATTTTGGCTGAATAGTACATACAACAAATATTACAACACAGCTTATGATAAGATATATATCTGTTACATGTATGTCCTAAGCTATTCTCAGAAAAAAAAAAATAATAATAAATAAATAAATAAAATAAAATAAAATATATATATATATATATATTATATATATATATATATATATAATATATATATATATATATATATATATATATTATATATATATATATATAGTTAGTTAGTCTGAGAACACCATTGGATGCTAATGACCTCAATTGGATGCTAATGACCTCAATTGGATGCTAATGACCTCAATTGTTTTCTTAGAAATCTGATTCCCTACAAGTTTCAATGGTCAAAGATATTGAAACAAAAATAATGTGCACCAAGTATACCAACAACCCACATCTAACATAAAAAATCTTGGAAAAAAACACAAAAACTCTTGGTCATTGTGCATATATGCACAGAAACCAAAGGGAAGAAGAAGAAAAGACAGCAATAAAAACAGAAAGATAGATATGAGAAAGAAAAAATGAAAAGATAAAATAAATCCAGGTAAAGAGAAAATGAATCCTTAC